TGGAGGTAACTCTGGGCTGTAACAGGGGACTAAATACTGTGGTCTCCCGCAGGGTTACCTGTGTGGTCAGTGACAGGGAAGGAAGAAAATCTAATTGGCGATTGAAGCAGAGGTCCACCTGTCCTTCTCCAGGGGCTATCCACTGTCTGATGTCTCATTCAGTTGTTGCATTTGCATTATCTGACTTGACAGTTAAGCCCTTTGGGGCAGAAATATTATCCCATTTGATTATCGAGTGCCACAGTTCATGGGTGTATAAACGAGGAATTATGAACGCTGTGGCTGGATATTGGCTTTTAGTATGAGACTCTTCTGTTACCAGCTGCTCCTACTCATCTGGTCCCCTTTGGAGGAGGCAGCAGTACTGTGATCCACAGTGACAGCGACATTAGAAATACAACAGCTGTTAAAAAAAAAAAGTTCTATATATACATTTTTTGACATTCTGTTAAGAAACTGATTTAAATATCTGGATTTATCTGTATAAGCTTGCTGAAAAGAAGCTTAGCTAACCTTACTGATTCCATTGCTTTGATGGGAAGCTGCAGGGAAGGGAAACAAACCTTCATAATTCAGGTTATAGAATAGTCTGCAAAGGCTGGAGAAATACGTCTTTCCTTCTGAAAAATAAGACTTTGTAGTTTGCCAGGAGCTAAGGTTAGTGGGTCAGACAGTAATAGGTACTCCTTTGCCCTTGAAAACACATTGTATGCTGTTAAATCCTACTGATGGGACGGAACCAGCCCTCTGCTTGTCTGCTGATGCTTTTAGGTCACTTTGGAGTATGAAACAGGTAACGCTTGACTGGGATTGGGGCTTGAGTGGTGCTTGGATTTTTCATTTGCAGGTTCACCTGAATGGCAGATGTGCCGGATGGGTGGGTGCTGAGGTTGGCCTCTGTACCTGCAGCATGTCACTGTGTCACTGCAATCCCCTCTCCTGTCCCGGCCCCCACTGTATCCTGGAGTGCCTGACTGGAGAGCTTTGGGTTTTTCCTCTTATGTGTGCTAAACCCTGGGAAGTTCAGTATGCAGCTAGTAATTATCAGTAATTATAGCTCTTATCTTAGCTATTGTTTCTGCTGCTGTTAACCTGAACAGACCTTAGCAAGTCCTAAAAGTAAGGTTTGGAGTTTATGTACCGTGCAAGTAGTGGTGCAATTCAAGGTGGAGGGGAACAGCACAGGAGGTGTCTTGAAGGCGACTCTGGCTAGAACAGGTCCAATATCCAGGACGATAAAGAGCCTCTGTAATCACTTTGCAGTAACCCCTGCTGACCTGACCAGCCTAGGAAAAACGTGTGCATGGCCACATAGTGACCCGTGGTGTTCCCCTCACTGAGAGAGGCTGCTCTTAAGCAAGGTCCTGTACCTCGTCAGGAACTTCATATCAGCACCACCTGAATATCTGTGAGCTATTGGAGCAAGAACAGCCTAGGTTATTTTGGAGTGTCACTAATGTGCCAATCTTTTCCTTTTTGAAAAGCAGACTGTTAATGGTCTTCATATTTCTGTCTAAATAAATCTCTTGCCAAAAATATCAACCATTGCCATCTATTGAGATGGGCAACTTTAAGTATTGCTTCAGAGAGAACATGCTTTTTTGGCATTTATTAAACTATTCGTATTTTCAAGCAGGATATTAATAATTTCTTACTTCTGTTGAAGTGATGCAAGATGAAAAATTAATGTAGATGTTACTTTCTCTTCCGGATCTTGCAAGCTGGTTGTGCCTCTGATGTACACAGTCTTAATTGAAGCCAACATTTTCTTTTGAGCTCTAGTTTACTTCCAAAGTAAAAACTGACACTGTAAATACCTGACAAAGTGTTTCAGACTGCTGTTTTTTGTTTCTTTGCTTATTCTGACTAGTCTTTATCAGCTTTATTATGGAAGATTTAAAGTCTTTTGATGTGGTCCAAAACTTTGATTGTAGAAATTCAGGTAGCGATGTTTCTCTCTAGTGACTAAAAGATGAGGTAGAAAGCAAGAGTTTTGGGTCTTTCAGCACATGAAGCTTTTTACGTCTCTTTAAGTTGCTTATATCCTTTCTGCTCCATCTAGACAGCTAAAGAGAGATTAATATTTTTTCATGGGGGGCATAAAGCTTTTAGGGGATTCTTGAAGCATTTCTAATAAATGGTAAACACACTAAAGGCCTCTGTAAATACTGGCTTGTGAAGCTGTGTTTAAAGGCTTGGTACTGGGATGGATGGCTTCTTAGAGTGGATTTCACTTTAGAGGCATTTGTAGAGTTACTTTCACGTACCGTCCTTCTTCCCAACTCGAAAAAAAGAATTTATTGCTGGGTTTATCATCGCTGCTGTCTGTGTAGGAAGGATTAGATCTCCAGGGAGAAGTTATCTAAGACTTAGGATTTCTGTCTCTTTAGTCTCTCCCTTGCTGCTCTTGTCTAGTGAAGAGCAATATATTTGGGTGCTGTCTGGGGCAAAGGGGGAAGCGAGGGAGAGAAATGGCCTGTTGCAGTTTCTGCGGTGGTGCTGGCCATGGGGTAGGCAGGGCTGCGAGCAGGAAACACTCAGGGACTGCGGGAAGTGCCTTTAACCTTCTTTCATAATTCATGTTTGGGGAGAAGGAAAGGGCCCTGTGGGATACATTAGCATTCATTGAATGTACATGCAAACAGATGTTAGCTGAAGTAGAATGGAAGAAAAGATGCCCACTGACCCAAATTTCTTCCAGTGTCCTGTTTGGTCTGTCTGCAATTTTCATGTTCCAACTGCTAAGCCATAATAAGAAAACAATTCCTTCTTGAAGTGTTTTGCCACATATGTTTTTCCCAGTTTTATAATGTGCTGTTTAATGCACGCAGTCCATCTCGTCTGTGCGGCCTCCTCCACCTCTGCTCTTGGCCGGGCCATCAGCAGCTCCCAGCCTGCGTCTGCTCTGCTGAGCCTTGGACTGGGAACAGCAGAGCCTTGCCAGGAGACTCGGTGTTTTGTAAACGCTTGGGTCTGCTGTTCTGAAGTCTGTTAAATGGTCAGCGCTGCTTTGAAAGCAAATGGAACCAGTCCCATGGAGACAAAAAGCAATAAATGCTCGTGGTCACCTGAAAGGATGCAGAAGTTTAATATTGTTAGTTTCTGCATGGGATGCAGAATAACAGCTGGAGATGTTGCATGTGTGCCACGCAATTGTCGTTTGCTACTTTTAATTAGGATCTGACTTTGTTTCCGTACAGATAGATCCTCTACTGTGTTTGGGTTTTTTTAATCTGACGAAGGCTCGTGTCTTCACACAGTTGGCAAAGTCACCTTACCATCAGGAGTTCTTTTAAGTATCCTATTTTCAATGGCTTAAGTCTCAGCTTCTGAAGTGTGAATGCCATTCTGAGTTACGATGAAGTAGGTCGATCTTTGGTCATATAAAGCCAGATTGTGTAAGGGCATGAGGTGTAACCTGGTGTATGTGTTTTGGTCCCCTTAAAGCCCATGTGAAGTTGAAGTGCCTTCTGCTGCACCAGGCACTGATGGTGTACCCCGAGACCCAATGCTCGGTGTCAGGTGCTGTTCTGAAAACAGCTGAGTGCATCTGTGGCAGAAATAAAAAATCAGGAAGAAGAGGGAATATCTGAATTAAACAGTGTTTTTGAAAAACGTTGCAGCTTACCTGAAATCGGTATTTCTGATATATAGACACTTAGTCTTCTCGGTCATGTCCCTCACCCCCCACACACTCTTTGCCATAAATACGGTTTGCAGTTAACTGCAGAGATACAGCAGTTGTCTAGATTAAGAACTATGAAGAATATTTAGACATTACACTGTTCTTCCATTGAAAACTGAACGCTGGAGTAAGATTGAGGAGAGACATAAGGCTTTTTGTCAGCTATTATCTACTTTCTGCCAGAAAAATAAGAGAGTCTGGAGAAAGGAAATGTGTCTTACTATCTCTAAGGATGTACATGGGATACAGAATGCTAAATGTAAGCTCTTGTTTGTCCTGATGCTCTCCAATCCTTGCAGACTAGCCACAAGAACCTGATAAGCAGCAGCTTTGCTCCTGGACTTTGATATCGCAGCAGCTGTGGTGTCTCACTCCCATAAGAGATATTTCAGCCTTGGTAATGGGGATGAGGGGTGACAAACTGCGTCTCTTCATGCTTCCCTGGGCTGACAGCAGCTGGGGTTCCTCTGCTCTCCTGGGACAGCGAGGGCTCTTGGTGGAGAGCATGGGAGGGGACGTCTGTCCAGCCTGTGATAAATGGTGGGACCCTTCACTGCCTTCAGTCCTGCGTACCCTACCTGCCTTCAGGAGCACTGGGTGCTCATCACCCAGTTTCTATGACCTGTCCCATGGAGGGGGACAGCTGCAAACACATTTAAATTTAGTTTAACTGTTGAAGGACACCTCATTTCCTCTGGAGGCATCCAGACTTATGTATTCAAGGTTTTGCGGTATTTAGCCGTGGTATGAGCTGTTTTTGTGGTTTGTCTTTGCTCTCTTCCCTGCACTGTCCTCGCAGGGTCCTGCTGGAGGGTGAAGGTAATGGGGTTTAAACTCCTGCAGGAGATGTTCTACCTGGTGTGCACTGAAGCTTGCTCCCTTCTTTTCCCTTTTCCTTTCAACAGAAGTTGAAATAACCCCTTACTCGCAGAAATGGAAGAGAAGGGTTTAGCACAGTCTTAGCCGTGCTGTAATTTAAAATGAGCAGGTAGTTTTAATCCACCGACATTATACCTATGTGATTATCTTAACTGGCTATTACACAAAAATAGCTGTTGTTGAAATGAAACAAATGCTTTCCTGTTTACTGTGAACGAGGTAACCACTTTTGAAAGCCTGACAGATGCCTGGGTTATTCTTCAGAGATTTCTGTCTCTGACAGTTCTAGCCTTTGTGCATCTTATTTGCCTTTCTACATACACTTGCTCTGAATTAAAACTGTTTAAAAGGAGATGATGGGGAGGAAAACTATCCTTAGCCTCTTAAAACTCTCTTTTTTTTAATATTCCTTTTTCTTTGTCCCCTGCAGTTGCTCTCGGTCGTAATCAACCCTTGAAAAAAGAGAAACCGAAATGGAAAAGTGATTACCCCATGACAGACGGACAGTTGCGCAGTAAGAGGGACGAGTTTTGGGACACGGCACCAGCTTTCGAAGGTCGCAAGGAGATTTGGGATGCCTTGAAGGCTGCTGCACACGCTTTCGAGAGCAATGATCACGAACTGGCACAAGCAATCATTGATGGTGCAAACATAACACTACCCCATGGTAGGTTCATCTAAGACAGACGTGGCCCAAGTGTAACAGTAGGTTAAGGGAAACGTTGTTTTAACCTGAAAATCAATTGAGACATACATGTAATAGTTTTAAATACTTGTATTTCGGTATGCACAGCGTCTTCCTGTTTGTTATTTCAAAGCAAATGTGTGGAGGGACCAAGAAAAGCTACCTTTCTGTCGTTACCTACATTTGAATGTAGGATCAGGTACATGGTGTAATACACAGTTTAGCAGTCTGATCTCTCCAGGCAACACTTGTGACTTTCTGTAATCCCTTGAAACACCTGCATGCTCAAAGGTACAGTTTTCTTAATTTCTTTCCAGCCTTCCTTTGTGGGGGAGTAGATTTATTTTTTTGCCCCGATGTTACAGGGTTTTTTGGCACTTGAATTGTTTTGGGTTTTCTTTTTTAAAATTCTTTTTTGAAGAGTATGAAAAACTTGCCCCAAAACCTGGTGCTGGCAATCTGCTGTAAGATCTTGTACACCATAAACTGTAAGCACTTATTTCAGATGCTTTCTCTTTTGCTCTGTTGTTCTGAACTCTGATTTTTTTTTTCAAGCTCTGTTCTCCCTCACTCCTGAAATGAATCACTCCTCTTTATTACCAATAGCAGTACAGTGCAAGTTCTGCATTTAAAAAAATAATCGTAGTAAAATTGAATGGATTTGTAGCTTCAGTAACCTGAAAGAATCAGGATGAAATTAAAAAACCCCAAAACAATGCACACCAAAAAAGCCCCACCACCCCCCCGTAACAAAGCACGCTGAACTGCAGCAGGTGTGTGTTCTGCTTAGGCTGTGCTTGGTGCCCTCACTTCCAGAAAGGGTATGAAGAGACGTGCACCAAATAATGAACTTGTTCCAGACACACGGAGCTGAATGCAGTATAAAAGACATTATGTATCTGCTGATTAGGGTCTCCTGGGAAGAGAAAAAGGATGATGTGGAAAATTGCATTCCTTGCTTTCCAGGGTAACTTATCTTCATGAGAGTGACTACTCGTAATGCCTCTTTTTCTCTTTTCTTTTCTTGGTGGTGTTTATGACCTCAGTTTCCTTAAGAAGTCCTCCTTGTTCACATATTCAGTTTAGAAGGGGTTCATTTGCGGCTCTGTCTGTCATTTCCTCTACTGAGCTCTGAAACTTTCCCAGTTGTGGGGCTCAGCGCGTCCTTTCCCCTGTCCTGTTCAGCCCTCAGGACCTCTGTAGCATCCCTGAGAGGTGGAAACTTCAGTGCTGCAACACGACCTGGCTTTTCCATAATTCATGGGTGATCTTTTGTAGTCCTCCACATCGCTGTTTGTTTTCAAGGAGGTTTTTGTTTTGCTGGTTTGACTGATAATGAGTGAGTTCTTGTCAAGGGCGGTTACGCATACGGAAATTTTTTCTGTAGGAGCTGGAGTTTGAAAGAGGAATTTGTCAGTTATTTCCAGAAGGTGCCAATGCCAAGGAGATGGCAGGTCTCCTCTTTGACGGACCTGTTGGGCGCCTGTTTACATTCTAGGCCCAATCCATCAGGGAGAGAGAAAATTAATTTCCCTGTTATAGCTAACATGGTTTTCAAAAGAGAGAGGAAGGAGTCAGGTTGTCTGGCATGGAGCTGGTCAGAAGGCCCCTTTCTGCCTGTGTTTGTCATAGTGGCTTTCTTTCTAGTTTGTAAAACTGGACAGAATTTGGAAATCCTGAATTACCTACCAGGCTTCTTGATTTTATGTATCAATACTGTGTTTTAAATAGCATACTATATTCTGTATCCAGAAAACAACAGAATGTGCTCCTTCTAAATTGGTAATGTCGGTGGATTTTTATCCTTCCATTTCAGCATCTACATTGCTGAAAATGTCCCAGAAGCAGCTGGGTGTTTAGGCAGCTGTGTTGTGAGCTGGAGGAAATGGTGTAAGTGAGAGGGGTCAGGTGAAGTGGATAACTGAAGTGACTGATAATTTTAAGTCACTGTTCAGATCAGTGGAAATAATCAATATCTCAGAAATTATTTGCAGACCTAAGGTAGTCACTGCATCGTTTTGCTTAGTTGCTAAAATAAAAATAGTAGAGGTCAGGAAAACTCAATGTTATAGATGGGGCAGGTTTGTCAAAATATAGATTACCTTCCACTATGGTTTCTTGCTGCTTGTGAGAGTTGCTGTCCAGATCAGGCTTTAACTCAGCCTGAAGAACCATCTCTTGGTGTGTGAGGGTCTGAGTCTGCTGTGACCATACACAGAAGACCGATAGAAACATAAATCTTTTAGTAGATGAAAATTTGAATCACGGTCGTGCTTTTTCAGTGGGAAGGATGTTATTTGTATAATGTGGTTATGGAATTTGACAAGACCCTGGTAATGAGCTATTTTGACAGCATTAGATTATGTATTGGGCTGCACAAGTGTACACATCAACAGCACTTCCAGGGCAAACGTTAAATTTAGGGTATCAAGTCATGCAAAGAAGCTGTTTGACATGTTAGGTCTCTGCTTCCTCTCGTTAGAGCAGCATAACAACTTGTAATTGCGGAGGAGGATTTTATTCAAGTGGAGAAGTTTAAGCCTGCCTGGAAGAGCTTGGCTTTGGGCTGTGAGACGGAGCTTGTATGTCCTGCTCTTCAGTTAAGAGAGGATGGGTGGTGCGTAGTTTCAACACTCCCACATTTTGGAAAGTGTTTCTTGAATAACTGCTTATTAAGCTCATACTTTATAAGTATGTTCCAGTCATTAAATCCCATCAGTTTCTGGTTGCAAGGAAAAATCTGAAACTGGGCGGATAACTCACATTTCTTCTCTTCGGGCAGGCTGAGGAATGCAGGATGGATGCTATGCCCTGGAAATGAACCCTTTTAATGTTGTTGAATGTAATACTTAGGGGGCAGAAGTATGTGAATTCTTAAATTTTAGCTCTTCAGCAGACAATTTGCTTGGGGTCCTGCCTACCACTGGCAGACTGTAGTCTGCTTTCGAAAGCCCACGTGCAGAATACTCAGAATATTTCAGAAATAAGTCAGGAATCAAACTTGTAGCAGAGGCTCTGTTGCCCAAGCCAGGCTGGGCCTGAGGCCGGATTGAAAAATAGAATATTTTGAGTATTTTTTCAGAGTCTCAAGTTTATTAATTTTATTAGTGATTTTTGTGCACACAAAACTGCGTTACTTCTTTTTAGTCAATTTTCCATTGGTGACAGTTGTCTTGTGCATCAGCTCCTTGCATAGCTTTCTATGTGGTGTGACCTTTCCACTACAGAGAAAGCTGCTTCTTTTAGAAATTCAAGTATTTCTTAGTCATCAAGCATTGTTAGTGCCATGTATGAATAGATTATGAATAAAAGCCTTCCGTTTATGGGCTCAGCATTGCCAGTTATCAGCAAACCGAGCTTATCTCCAGCCAGGTAGAACAGACAAACTGTCCTTGTTCCAAGTGACACAAAAAATCCCTGCAGTTCTGTTTACAAAAACTCACTTTGTGCACAATTTTAAAAAGCAGGGGAAATAGCTGTTAAGAAATGCAGCTGCTGCACATGCGTTAACCCCGAGTGCTGTGCTCGCCTGACCTGCACCGCTCTCTGCACCCACCCCTGTAACTGCCGGGCATTGCCATGCCCTGTGCTGGTCTGTCCCTTTCCCACCCTGTCCAGGGACCTGGAGCATGGCAGGGGGCCGGTGTCACCTCTCAAATTCAGCCTTGATGCCATTTTTATTGTCTGCAGCTGTTTACCTGGCCAGGCAGCAAATACCCATCCTGTTCAGGCTATGTCCTCTTCAGGACTTTTTTTTTTACCCTAAGTTATTAATTTGACAGTGGCATTTTTGTACATGAAAAATTTGTATTTGTGATGGGATGGGCAGGGATGGGATGGTCTTCCTTTGGTTTCTTAACTCACCAAAGAATCTTGATTCCTAAGGAAAAATGCGTTATCAATATCAACTAATTTCTTAAACTTCATTGAAAAAATGGAATTTTTCTAGCTAATTCTTTTTCCTCTCCCAGAGGATTAGGTATTCTGCAAAATGATGCAATACTGTGAGACTGTGGCATTTCCTCTCATTTCTTTTCTGTGTGCACAACTGAGGCTTAAAAAACCCCAGCCAAACCCGTACATCTCCATTTTAGCTGTCCCTGTGTGGTAAGCGTGTTGTGTATGCGTTCAAACCGTGCATTACTTACAAAATTAAACCTTACGGGAAGCGGAGGAGTGGGAAGGGGGGGCTGGGGAGTAGGTAAGGACGGACCGGGCTTTCAGATGCAGATTCTGGCCTAGCTGATGCTGCAAAAATAAAATTGCTTTTTATTCCAGAAAGCTATAGGAAACTGAGGAAAAAAAACCCCATCTCTTCTTAACACTGTGTTCAGCCAGATATCTCGCTTGTCCAACCTATGTGAGGAAAACCCTGACCAATGTGGTTTTTCTAATGGATGCCTTTTGCTGTCTTCTGCGGTTAAAAATAGCACGTAAGAAGTATTAAATAAATAAATAAGCTTGTGGGATGGGCTTAGCACTTCTCATCTATCTTGGGTGCCTCTGTGGGATGTATTTAAAAATAGAAATAACATTATCGCCAATTTATACTTTTTTTTTTTTCCTGATGTCTTAAAGTAGCACATCCTCAATATTTTATTAATAAGTTCATTTAAATTTAATGAAGAACACTTTTGCATACTTCACGGCCATCAAAAAAGAAGTGTTGGAGTGTGTGGTATTTTATCAGGGTCTGATATGTTAGTGAATGTCAGTATTGAGTTGAACTTGTCCTGCAAGTAGTTAATATTAATTGGAATCTGTCTGAGGTTAAATGGAGTTTTTAAATTTCAGGATGGATGCTTAATCCACTGTAGCATAGTTACCAGTATATTGAATTTAACTCCTTTAATACTATGTGAGCGATAGAAAGGCCTCTCTTAAGCAGTGGCTTTGTGCTCAGGCGCAGTCGACTTCTCTGTGCCTTAAAATACAGCTCTGTAGCTCGCAGCGTGCGTTTTCAGGGAGCAGTCTCGGAGCGC